CTGTCCCCACACCTGCCCTCCCTCACCTCCTTCCACACTCCCTCACCTCCACCCCCACATCTGTCTTTCACTTCCCCCACACCCACCCTTCTCACCTCTCTTCTTCACACCCACCCTCTTCCCACCCTCCTCACTTCCCTTCAGCCAATCTTTCCTCATTTTCTTCTTCTCATCTCCATCTCACCTCACCTCCTCTCCTCATGCTAATATCTTAAGATTTTCCCCCACTCCTATTCCCCCCCCCACATCGCAGCCTCACCCCCTCTTTCTGGGCTCATTGCCTGTTTCCCCGCTGCCCTGTGTCTTCCTTTTCACTGCCTCTGTCCTCATTTCTCCCTCACCTCGCCAGGTTCTCCGGGGTCCTGGTCTCACATCCTCTCCCTGCCTTCCCCCCCCATTTCCTCCACTTTCTCAGCTCGCGGCCCCCTCCCCACCGTCCCGGGGCGCACCCACGACCCGGATGCGGATGGTGGCCGTGTCCTGCATGTTCTCAATCTGCACGCTCAGCTCATACTCCCCGGAGTCAGTGCGCGCGGCCTGGCGCACGAACAGCACCGTGTCCTGGTCGCTGGTGCGCACGTGCACTCGTGATGAGTCCAGCGGGGCGCCACCCTTCGTCCACACCACCTGGGGCCGAGGCTTTCCCTGGGGGGGGCAGAGAGAGAGGGGGTGATCCCAGACCCTGCACGGGCCCCACAGTTCACCTGTCACCTCCAGCCCCCGTACCTGGAAGGGGATGAGGAGGTTGAGCTGCTCCCCCACTTTCCGGATGTAAGTCTGGCGAAGATGGCGAGGGAGGCGGATCTTGGGTTGCTCTGAGGGCACAAAGAGGGAGGGAGCTCAGCCTGAGTTGGGGACATTCTGGAGGTGGTGGGGTTTTCCAGGGGACACCCTAATGATGACCACAGAAAACTCAGTCTCATCGTCCAGCCAGTTCTGACCCATCGCTGATGCTCCATTCCCTTTCCAAGGCTGTAAATCACCCAGGCAGACATTGCCCCTCTCCCACCTGCAGAGCACCTGGTGGACTCGAACCACAAGCCTTTGAGTTAACAGTGCAACTATGGACCACACCACCCGGGCTCCCTAGCCACTGAGGGCCGGCTGAGTGACACCAAACGGCCTCCAGGAGACTAGGGGCTCCCTCACCCACGATCTCCCGGATGGTGACCGGCTGGGCCAGGGTGGCCGGCTCACTGCGACCTGCGATGTTGACCCCGACGACCCGGAAGAGAATTCTTGCTCCAGTGGGGAGATCCTTGACGGTAAAGCCACATCGCTCGACGGGCTGCGTGTTAGCGGGGACCCATTCCTCTGCTACAGAGAGAAGAGGGCTCTGGTCAAGCTCAAGACCTCCCGCCTGACCTTTCCACACAAGCTCAGCCCACTGACCACTGATGACCAAGGCAGCCACGTGGGCCATCACAGAGAAACACCACCAGCAGCAGAAGCAGCACTTACATCTGTCAGCACGCACTGTGACCAGTCCACGCGTATTAGCTCATCGATCCTCACCTCAGCCCTGTTATTCCCGTTTTAGAGATCAGCACATCAAGGCCAGCAGAAGTTAAGGAACTTGCCAAAGTGACACAGCCAGGAAGTGTTGGGCGAGGAAGGAAACACAAGGCTCTCTGATTCTAGAAAGCTCTTAAGTGCTTGGTTAAGCTGCGATGGAGGGAAGAGAAGTGTGGCTATGACTGAGACCGTGAAAGGAGGAGCCTGAGAGAGCAGGGCCCAGTGTGCCTAAGTGCGGAATCCAGGAGTGGTGGTTGGAGGCGGCTCAGGGATTCCCTGCCTACTGCTGTGTCTCTCTATGCGCTGATGCACCGTGGTTGATCAGAACCACCATCAGCAGCAGATTCACCTCTTAACAACCTGGGTTCTGAAACATCGGAGTGGTTGTGGCACAAACAGGGGACGGGGGGTCAGCGTGGGTGGTAGGGATGAGTGCCAGAAAGAGAGAGAGGGGAGAAGCTGAGAAGGGTTCAACCATCCATTCCCGCACATGCGTTACCGAATGCAGTCATCGCTGTACCCTGGCCAGGTGGGCACTGTCCTCGCCATTCTGAGATGAAGAAACTGAGCCTCAGAGACATGCCCAAGGTCGCACAGACAGACAGTGCAGGGGCAGGACTGAGACCCACGTCTGTGAGATTCTGACGCCTGGGAGGCAGTGTCGAGATGATCTGTGTTCAGGTCTGTCTTTCCAGGGAGATGAGCATGTTGGAGAGGAGATACCTTCGTACCCGGGGCTCTGGGCCTGGCATGGAGTTAGTGCTCAGTACATGTTTGCTCAATGGAGGATGGACGGAAAAAAGGAAGGATGGATGAAAAGATGGGGCACATTCAGGTAAAGTTTATAGATATATAGGTGGATAGATGGAAGAATGGTAGGAAGAATGGATGGATGGATGGATGGATGGATGGATGGATGGATGGATGGGGACATACCAAGCTTGTTAATAGATAGTCATATAGGTGGATATATGGATGAATGGTAGAAAGGATGGATGGATGGATGGATGGATGGATGGATGGAGACATACAGAGCTTGTTAATAGATAGTTATATAGGTGGATAGATGGATGAATGGTAGGATGGATGGATGGATAGATGGGGACATAGAGAGCTTGTTAATAGATAGTCATATAGGTGGATAGATGGATGAATGGTAGAATGGATGGATGGAGACATAACAGAGCTTGATAATAGATAGTTGTATAGGTGGATAGATGGATGAATGGTAGAAAGGATGGATGGATGGATGGATGGATGGATGGATGGATGGATGGATGGGGACATACAGAGCTTGTTAATAGATAGTTATATAGGTGGATAGATGGAAGAATAGTAGAAAGGACAGATGGATGGGTAGATGGGGACATACAGAGCTTGTTAATAGATGGTCATATAGGTGCACAGATGGAAGAATGGTAGGAAGGGAAGGATGGTGATGTATACTGAGGGGGAAGAATTATTAAACAGATGAATGATCACAAGATTTTCCAGATGGATACAAGGATGAGTGGATGAATGGATGACTGGACAAATGACTGGGAGGGAAGAAAAGAAGGAAAGATGGATGGATGGATGGATGGATGGATGGATGGATGGATGGATGGGCAAGTGGATAGATGGACAGATGTTCAGGTGGGTGGATGGATAACAGATGAACAGGTGGATGGATGAATGGATGGATGGATGGATGGATCGGCAAGTGGATAGATGGACAGATGTTCAGGTGGGTGGATGGATAACAGATGAACAGGTGGATGGATGAATGGATGGATAGGCAGATGGATAGATGGATGGATGAAGAAAGAAGAAGGAAGGTAGGTACAGACATACCTCCGAGATATTGTGGGTTTGTTCTTAGACCACCACAATAAGTCGATAAAGCAGTTCCCACCAGATTCTTGCCATATACAAGTCGGTATTTCCATTACACGTCTTTACATTTTTAAGTGGTGCAACAGCATTCTTTTAGTTGACTTTTTTTTTTCATTATTTTTTGTGCGTGTGCTGTCAAATCGGATCTGACTGGCACAGGAGGAGATTGTCCCTCCTTCTCCAGCAGAGAATCTGGTGGATTCGAACCACGTACCTCTGGGACTGCAGTGCCACAGCATTCTTAAAAAGCCTGAAGTATTGAGAAAATTACCACAGTGCGACAGAGACATGAAGCAAGCGCGTGTTATCCGCTAAATGGTGCCAAGAGACTTAGGCAGTGCAGGGTTTCCACAGGCCTTCCATGTTTAAAAAAAAGGCAATTATCAGTGCAGCACAATAAAGCAACACCCCATTGAGCAAGGTATGCCCATCGTAGGTAAATAGACTGATAGAAGAGAAGGGATTGCGGAGTGATGAATGAATTCAGGAAAGGGAGAAGGGACACGCTGTCACTGGGGATCCATCCTCACCTTCTCATTATAGTACTTCATGCAAGGATAGACACTGACCGATGGCAGCCCATTACCCCGTTATCTCTCCCTGCATGCCCCCACGTTCAGCACCCTAGATTGAACACTGATAGGACTCCAGGTGAGCCAGTGTCCCCCTGCCCCCAGATCAACGGGTCACTCACATCCCTCCAGGCAGTACTCCACCAGGTACCCGTCGATGCCACCTGCCCCAATCCTGTCTGGAGGCCTCCACTTGAGCGTGGTGGTGGTGTCTGTCACATCCTCTACCGTCAGATGTAAGGGTGCGCTTGTGGGCGCTAGAAAGACCCAGAGACAGGGGGCAGGGGTGTAAATGGGGAGGAGTCAGAGTTGGAGTCACTGGTTAGGAAAAGTATTAAATGTGGAACAAAGGTCAGTGAGCAATGAAGTATATCAAGAGACATCACATCGGCGAGCTCTGATGGCCTAGTGGCAAGAAGCTGCACTGCAATCCCAGAGGTGGGCGGTTTGAATCCACGAGATGCTCGGCTGGAGAAGGAGGAGTAATCTCCTCCTGTACCAGTCAGATCTGATTAGATGGTACACACACAAAAATAATAAAATTTTAAAAAATTTTTAAAGGGACATAATATTAAGGGACAGGTTTCAAGGTCAGGGATCGGTGTTAGTCTGAGAAGTCCAAGGCCAACAGGGACCACAGGTCTCAGCAGAGGCTGGGGTCACAATGGTGAATCTGTTGTGTCAGGAAAGAATCACAAGGGTGAGGGGTCGGGAGAGTGGGAGGCAACATGATGTTGGATGAGAAGTAACAGAAGTGGGCAGAGATGATGGATCCAAGATCAATAGGTTAGAGATGAAGGGCAGGGCAGGATGGGAGTCAGAGGTGGACGCGGGGGTCAGTGAGGGCACCGGAGGGGCCTTACCAATGGGCATAAAAGGCTTGGTGTTCATGCTGGGCTGGGAGACTCCAATGGCATTGACGGCAAAGACCCGCATCTCATAGAGCACGCCCTCAATCATCTTAGTGGACTCGTAGGTCGTCTCCGTAAAGACCTCAAAGTTCAGCTTCATCCAGCGCTGAGAGCCCTTCTTCTTCCTCTCCATGAGATACCCTGGAGGTTCCCCAAGCACAGAGGAGTAAGGTGGTCAGGGAAGAGTAGGAGGGTCACGTTGAAACAGGGAGAGTGACATCAGAGAGGTCACACGTCCTGGGGGGGGGGGGGGATGGATCTCAGGAATCTCAGAGAAGATGAGGGTCACCAGCCGTGGAATTAAGAATCAAGAGAGGTTATGGGGGTCTCTCTCTCTCTCTCTCTCTCTCTCTCTCTCTCACACACACACACACACACACAGGCTGATGGCCAGGGTGAGTATTCTCAGGTCCCTGAGAAAAAAGGTGGATGATCAAAGCCATCAAAGATGAAAAAAACACGTCTTTGGGGAGCTCTGGTGGCCTAGTGGCAAGAAGCTGCATTACAATTCCAGAGGCGCACTGTTCGAATCCACCAGATGCTCTGCCAGGGAAGGAGGGACAATCTCCTCCTATACCAGTCAGGTCTGATTTGATGGTACACACAAATAGTAAAATAAAAATAAAAAAAAATTTTAAATAGTTTCTTTAAAATAAAAATTAAAAAACAAAACAAAACACGTCTTTAAGGGAGGTCCCTGAGAATTTTAAGGGGTCCAGGAAGCAAAGGAGCAGGTGTAAGGTAAAGAGATGAGGCTATGGGGACACTGGCATACGGGCACTCACCAGTGACAGGCTGGCCACCATCGTACTTGGGGGGCTCCCAGACCAGGACAGCCCAATCCTCTCCAACTGAGGTGACCCGCACGGCCTCTGGGGGATCTGGGACATCTAGGGGGAGACGGACGAGTTAAGGATTCCCGCCTGGCCTCTGGGCTCCACCTCCTCGTCCAGACCTTCCCACGTCCTCAGCTCACCCACAACTCGCAGGAAGATGGAGGCCACGTCCTCGCCTGCGGGATTGGTGACTTTGATGGTGTAACGTCCCTCATCCGCTCGCTCAGCGCTTTCAATCACGAAGCTGCTGCAGTCCACCCGCTGCTCAAGGTGGACCCTGCCCTCGGTGCTCGAGAAAACCTAGACACGACCGAGACAGGGCCTGTTCTGAGTTCTGATCTCCTCCCCAGAGCCAACTCTCAATGCAGTGCTTCTGCTCAAAATTCTTCCGTGGTTTCTTCTCACCACACAAGGTACAAGGTCCTGAACTTGACCTTCGAGACTCATTTGAATACAGGCCCAAGTGCATAGAACTGGATGCCTCATTCCTCCCACATGTCCTCCTGGCTCTACAAGCACCAAACTTCATTTAAAAGATAAGGCCATTTTACTCCCAACTTTTACAAGGTTGTCCACTGTACAGCCAACACCCTGTCCCTCTCTCTGCAATACTCTTACTCATAATTTTTTTATATTTTCTTTTTATTATATTTTTCAAATTATCTTGTGTATGTACCATCAAATCTGAACTGACTGGTACAGAAGGAGATTACCCCTCTTTCTCCAGCAGAGCATCTGGTGGATTCGAACCATATATTCCTCTGGGATTGCAGTGCAGCTTCTTGCCACTAGGCCACCAGAGCTCCCTTCTTACTCATAATTTAAGACACATCTAGGAGCCGACCCTTCCAAGAAGCGTTCTTGGATACCCTCCGCTGAAAAGTGAGGGGTTCATAGTGTGGATTTCTCATAGCCTTTCACCTCTACCTCTCTCTCTCTCTCTCTCTCTCTCTCTCTCTCTCTCTCTCTCTCCCCCCTGATCACCCTGAGCTGTGCCTGACTCTCCCCAAGACTGAAGGGTCTTGGCAAGCAAGGGCAGCCCTGACCCATGGTCGTAGCCTCAATGCCTGGCAGAGAGGAAGCTTTAGGAACTGCTAGCCGATCAAATGAGTAAGTGAAGATTAAGGCAGGTCTACCCAGAGGAAACTGAGCCCTACAGAAGAGAAAGGATGGAACTGCCTCAGAGTCTGGAACATGCAGGGTTAAAACAGTGATTAGATTCATGGACAATATGAAATGTTACAACAGATTCCTGGGTAAATGAGTAGATGGACAGAAGAACTAATGAGGGATAGTTTGACAGATGGACAGATTAGGTGAACATAGATCTAGATGAACAGGTGAATTACTAGATGGATAGATGGATGGCTGTATTGATTGACTGATCGATGCATTCATCATGCATAGACGGCTGGTTCAGGATGGATAAGAAGATGAATGGATGGATGTGTAGGTAAGTGGGTGGGTGGATGGATGAAAAAATGAATACGTGGGTAAATGAATGAATTGAAGGCCCGCCAGATGTTAGGCCCTATATGCATGACAGGGAGCTCTGGTGGCCTAGAGGCAAGAAGCTGCACTGCAATGCCAAAGGCACATGGTTTAAATCCACCAGCTGCTTGGGGAGAGGGATAGGCAATCTCCTCCCATGGGAGTAACTGCCTCAGAAAAGTCGCTGGAGGCTCAGCTGTGAGTCAGTTCTGACTTGATGGTACACAACAACAACAACATACTTGGTGATAGCTAACTACAACCTCTAGCCTTCAGCAGTCAGGAAATTAAAAGACTTATTGTGATGGGAAAATCTGCTGTTAGGGACCTCTCCAAAGTACTGAAGAGACATGGTGTCTCTCTGGAGACTAAGGTGCGTCTGATACAGGCCATGGTCTTTGCAATCACTTGTTATGCATCAGAGAGGTGGACAGTGACCAAGGAGGATAGAAGGAGAATTGATGCCTTTGAGCTGTGGTGCTGGAGAAGAGTGTTGAGGGTACCTTGGACTGCTAGGAGAACAAACAAGTTGATCCTAGAGGGGGTTAAACCAGCTGCTCCTTGGAGGAAAGGATTCTGAGGCTTCATCTGATATACTTTGGACATGTTGTAAGGAGGGACTGGTCCTTGGAGAGGGACATCATGCTTGGGAGGGTGGAGGGACAACACAGGAGAAGATGACCCTCTATGAGCTGGATTGATTCAGTGACTGGGGTAATTGGGATGGGTGTATTGGAGACAGTGTGATTGGCACAGGACAGATCAGGGTTTGGGGCCGTTGTATGAGTCACAGGCGATTTGGTGGCACATAACAAGAACATCAACAACCTTCAATCATCATCCTCGTTTTACAGACGAGGAAATTGAGGCTCAGAGGTTGAGAGCAAATTGCCAAAGGGCACCCAGCAGAGCTGCGAGAGAAAAGAACTCAGGGCACAGGGTAGCCCTAGTGTACCTCATCTCCCTTCAGCCAGGTGGCAACGGGAGGGGGCTCCCCGGTGATGGCCACGTCCAGCCTTAGCTTGTTTCCAGCCACAACCACAATAGAATTATCCGAGGTCTTCCCCGAGCAGTCCAGGTGGATCTTTGGTGGCTCTGGTTGGCAGAGAAGAGAAGCTGGGGGCTTGGGAGGTAGACACTGGGCCCTTCCTAATCTCTCATCAGAGGATCCCCGGAATCTGGGTTCTCAAAGAGATCCAGGGATCTGGCACTCCAACTCTTTCATCTCCTGGGACTCAAGAGCTCATCCCCCAGCCTCCTCTTCAAAGGCCCTGGGATCCCAAAACCCAGCCCCTCTTCCCTCAGACCCCGGAATCTGGGACCCCCAGCTCACCAGAACAGCTCTTGGTCCTTACCTTGCTTGGGTACATATTCCACCTTAATTTCTGGAGGAAAAAGAAGAGGTGATGGCTAGATCGCAGTTGAGCAAGTCCACCCAGAGGCAGAGATGGGGGCCAGAAGTCACCCCGGGAACCAGTGTCTGGTGAGGTTCAGGACTGCAGATGTCCCTAACTCCATTTCTCCCCTCATGTGGACACCCCTCGGTGTATACAATGCCCCCTCCCTCAATCTCTTCTCTGCCACTCCATGAAGTGGACAGACTTGCCCTCAACCTTTCTGGACAGGTAGGGAAATGTCATGCTGAAGGGAGGCAGCCAGGGACCCCGCAGCATGGGAGGTTGGATCCTGGGAGACACCCCCACCCCACCGTGGGGAAAGGAAGGGGGTGTTCACCCAGGAAGTTGAGCTTGGCCGAGAGGGACAGGGCATAGCCGTCAGGCACGAATGTGTAGTCGCCCTCATCCTCTGGACGGACATCGTCAATTACCAGCTTGTGGAACCTGAAGTGTTCAAGAGGCAGAGGAGGGATCACATGAGGATCCCCCTGGGGGGCCACCACAGGGCCGCGCTGCTCTCATCCCCACCTTTCAAAGCCTTCTAGAAAAACGCCCACCTCACATCCTAGAAACACGCTCGCCCATCGTTTTTAACTTTTAACTTTGGCTGGACAATTAATGGGGCACTTCTGTGCTGTGACACGGGGCTGCTAGGAGTTGAAATAGACTTGATGGCACCTAACATCAATGTACTGTATATGTCTGTGAGCCCAAAATTTAAAAATAAATAAACACACTGCCAATCAAATAGATTCTGACTCCTGGGGACCTTGTGGAACTGTAAATCTTTTTTTTTAATTTTTGTTTATTTATTTTATGTGTGTACCATCAAATTGGATCTGACTGGTACAGGAGGCGATTGTTCCTCCTTCAGCAGAGCATCTGGTGGATTTGAACCGCGCACCTCTGGGATTGCAGTGCAGTTTCCTGCCACCAGGCCACCAGAGCTTGCCGGAACTGTAAATCTTTATAGAAGCAGCTGACCTTAGCATTCACCCACAGTGGCTGGAGGGTTCGAACCACCCACCTCCCGGTGAGCCAGGGATCCTATATCTACCTGTAGATACACACATACAGCTCCCCCTATTTGTGGGGTTTCTTAAACAGCAGCCCCAGGAAATGATGCCGGCAGCTCCAGCTAGGGGTCCCCCCCCCAGCCCGCCCCAGCCCAGCGCAGCACCTCACCTCCCGATGTGGGAGATGGTGATCCTCTTGCTGGGGCGAACCTCAATCCCATTCTTGTACCACTTGCCCGTCACCTTCTCGTCAGACACCTCGCACTTGAACACGGCCTGTTCGGCGGCCTTCACCGTCAGATCGGCGATGTCCTGCAGCACTTCCAGCTGCTTCTCTGGAAGGAGCCAGGGTGGATGGACTGTGAGGCGGCTCTGAGCTGTGTGTCCACAGCTGCTCTAGGCGCTGGGGGCAAAGCTGGGACCCATGTCTCCTTCTTAACTCCCCTCTGTCCACTCTTCCACACACCCCCTTTCCTCCCACTCTGTTCCTTCTCATCAAGGAGCTCTGGTGATGCACAGACTACACACTGAGCTTCGGAAGGCCAATAGCCTGACCTCGCCAGCCTCACTCAGCTTCCGTGAAGATTATGGCCTTGGGGACCTGGAAGGACAGTTCTCTGTCCTACAGGAGAGCCACTAGGAAGCACATTGTGCAAATTAAATTGCAATTAGTGTCACAAACCAAAACGTGTATGAGTGGCTGAAAGGAAAGCCAATCTGCACACAGTCAACCCTTTGGGTTCAAAAGGGCAACAGCAGTCCAGGAAGAAAGCTGAGAAGGCAGGAAAGGCAGAGTGGGAAAGGATGGATGGAAAGAGGAAACACAGGAAGGAAGTAGGTATGGTGCTGTTACTTCCAAGGTGAGGATGTGATTAATGTCATAACACAATGTGCATGAACGACTGAGTGAAAAACCAATCTGATCTGTAAACTTTCACTCACATCACGTTGTTGTTGTTGTTATGGGACGTCAAATCGCCTGCGACTCAGAGTGACCCTGTGTACAACAACTCTAAACCCTGCTCTATCCTGCGTCAATCTTATTGTCTCTGGCACATCTACCCCCATTACCCCAGTCGTATTAGAAAGAGAAAAAGAAGAATGTCCAAGGTACATGCTTGGGGGGGGGGGTGGAGCCAACAGGACCTGCTGGTGGGTTAAATGCAAGGGGGTCAGGGAACCCTCAGAACCAAGGACAGCACCAAGATCGGAGCCCCATGGAGGTGCCCAGGAAGCACACCTGGCCAAGGTGGGCCCCTCCCCTCACCTTCCACGATGAGCTCAGCCTCACACTGGCCGCCGTTGGTCATGACCTGATAGCGACCCCCGTCTTCCTTGTCAACATCTGAGTAGATGAGGATGTGTCGCTTGCCGTCCTTCTTGAAGCGGTACCGGGCCTTGTAGGAATCCTCTCGGGTCAGCTCCACGCCATCCTTCATCCTGAGCAGGAGATGCAGCAGGAGGGGAGTGAGGAACACACACACACACACACACACACACACACACACACACCGCTTTGGGGCCAGGTATCAAAGCAGTGAGCCCAAAGCAGTGGTTGTTAAATCATGGCTGCTAACTGAAGGTCAGCGAGTCAAACTCAGCATGTGCTCACAGGAGGACAATGTGGCTGTCCACTTCCATAAAGATGACCACAGCCTGGAAACCCTGGGGAGGTCACTCTGTAGGGTCACTCGGAGTTAGAGCGGACTTGACTGGCTGTGAATTTGCTTTCTCTGGAGTTCTTTTTGTTTTGTTTCTTTGGGGTTTTTTTCAGTCAAAGCTAAGGAGTCTTTGTCCAGAGATTCAGGAGACAGAAGAATATCTGATGCCTTTGAATGGTATCATTGATAGAGAATGTTGTTGTTGTTGTTATGTGCTATGGGGTCGCCTGTGACTCATAGCAACCCTGTGTACATTAGGTCTGAAAGCTGCCTTATCCTGCGCCAATCTCATCATCTCTGACAGACCTAATTCCTGCTCTGGTCACTGAATCAATCCATCCCATCTGGGGTCATCCTCTTCTGCACTGTCCCTCCACCCTTCCAATAATGTCCCTCTCCAAGGACTGATCCCTCCAGGCCACATGCCCAAAGTATGTGAGACAGAACCTCAAAATCATTGCCTTTACAGAGCAAATTGGTTTCATCCTCTCCAGGGCAGACGTCTCTGTTTTCCTGGCAGTCCACAGTATGTTCAACACTCTTCTCCAGTGACGCAACTCAAAGACATCCATCCTTCTTCTATCAGCCTTATTGTCCAGCTCTCTGATACACAGTAAGTAATTGCAAAGACCATGGCCTGGATTAGGCACTCCTTAGTCTCCAGACTGATATCATTGTTCTTCAGTACACTAGAGAGGTCCCTGACAGCAGATTTTCCCAATGCCATTTGCCTTTTGATTTCTTGACTCCTGGTGCCAAGAGTGTTGATTGTGAAACCATATAAGCTGAAGTTATCAACAATCTCAATCTCTTCTCCATCCATCATGAAGCAGCCAATAGGCCTAATGGTGAGAATCTTTGTTTTCTTGATGTTGATAGTACTGACCAAATTTTAGAATGCCAAAAGAACAAACAAGTCTGTCTTAGTGGAAGTACAACCAGGGCGCACCTTATAGGAAAGGTGGTGAAAATTCCTCTCACATACTTGGGGCATGTTGTCAGAAGAGGTCTTGGAAAAACAAAACATCATTCTTGGAAAAGTAAGAAAGTCCATTGCAGAATGTTGGGGAGGAAGGGAAGGCGTCTGGCCAGGACCGATTGTCTAAGCTCCAGGTAAGTGCAAGCCTCCCAACGGCCTTTAATACGAGGTAGAGAAAGCTCCCCTGTGTTTGGCTGTACTGGCTTGAGAAAGCTCGCCACCTGGGAAGACAGCTGCTGCGTCTGTTGAACTGGAAATGCTCACCATGAGTCTGAGGTTCTCCTAACCGATCCGTATGTCCACCTGTGTAAGCCCACCCTATCCTGCCTTCCTGGGCATATAAGTGCACTGCTTAGCCCAATAAAATTGAGCTGGATTGACTCTCTGATCCTCTCCCAGAGTGGTGTATCTCTGTCGTGCTTACTCCCATCAGGGTGTCACTGTTAAGTTGACAGCAAACTGACAGCGACAGAAGTCCATGAAAAAAAGGAAAATCCTCAAGATAGATTGACACAATGACCATAATAATGGGCTTGAGGACGGCAGAGATTGTGAGGATGGCATAGGCTTCAGTCTGCTATCCATACATCATTATGAGTCACAGCTGATTCAATGACAAAAAACAAGAAGGTGTTGACTCCCACAAATAGTTAATGTGCTTGGTTGCTAATGAGAAGGTGGGAAGTTTTCGTATACTCAGAGGTGCCTCAAAAAGGGCTGGGAATCTAATTTTTTAAACAAGCCATTAAAATGTTCTGGAGAACAGCTCTATTTTAACACACCTGGGCTGTCCTGAGTGGGAATGGACTTGATAGAACACCTGGATGACTGGATAGAAGGGGTGATGAATAAATAGCTGGATGGATGGGTGGGTGGGTGGATTGATGGATAAGAAGATGATCATTGATTGGCTGCCTGAATGAATGAGTGGGCAAGTGGATGGATGCATCAATGGTGTTATAGATTAAATTGTGTTCCATAAAAATAAATGTCAACGTGGTTAATCTGTGAGTCTCACTATTATGTAATTATCTTCTTGTTTGTGGGAATTTATGTACTTGTCTTGTGTTGTAAATTCTAAACTGTATGATGTTAATGAGCCAAGGTTAGTCACAGTTATGTGAATGAGGCAGGATACAATTAGTAGGTTGTATTTCAAATCAATCATTTTTTAAAATTTGTTTGGCTTTTTAAAAATTTTGTTGTTGTTTTGAATCAATCTCTTGAGAAATAAAAGAGATTAGACAAATGAATAAGGATATAATGACCTCAGAACCATGAGTAAGACACAAGAATGGAGAGCACCATTTGGACTGAGGGTTCCTGTCTGTGAACCTCCTAGACTTGCGGGAAGACTGATGACAAGACATTGGAGATCACCAAGTGATACTAGCCCAGAGATGATGAAAGGAGACCAATATACTCCCTCAAGAAAAACAGAGATAAGACTCTAAATTCAGAGCTCCAAGCCTCCTAAATTGTGAGAGATTAAATTTCAGTTAAAGTCATCCACTTGTGGAATTTCTGTTATAGCTGCACTGAATAATTACCATTAATGGATACATGGATAGAGTGATAAATAATGGGGTGGTACATGAGTAAAAATGGATGGATGAATGGAAATATGGGAAGATAAATGAATGGGATGATGAATAAATGGAAGAATTCATAAGTAGATAGATGAGTAGACATATGGCTACATGGGCCAAACAAGGATGATTGATTGTGTGAAGGGATAAATAAATGAATGGTAGATGGATTAATGGTTTAATGAATAATTGAAACAGTAGAAATCAGGAAAAGGACTTCAAAGAGGAGTCACAATGTTATGTCACTGTGGGATGGATAGTGATGGGGTTAGGTAGACACCAGAAGTTCTATAAGGAGTTCTTGGGTGCAAGTGAGGACTTATTGAGAAAGGCTGAGGTCTCATGGTAACCGGCAAGAAGAAGTCAGAAACCTCTAGGGCAGGTCACAGTGTCCCGAAAAAGTCAAAGCAGGCTCAAAAAAAAGTGCTTGTGTTGATGTCAGAGATCAAGGGTCACTCATCACATGACTTGAGGGTCACTCACCACATGACTTGAGCACCCTCTTCTGATACCTCCACCGACATTTCCACACGGTCACCAACAAACACTTGCTGGTCCTCCAAGGGTGTGACGATCAGGACTGGAGGTTCTACAAGGTAGGATGGATGGAAGGTCAGGAGTTTTAGGACCCCTCCAGAATTCCGTTCCCCAAGTTCAGACTTGAAGTCTGGCCTCACCTTTCACAAAGAGCTCAGTAAAGCACTTTTCATCTTTGACAACCGCCTCATAAGCAGCATCATCTGCCAGCGTGCACTTGTTGATGGTGAGAATTCGCTTCTTGCCAACATTCTCAAACACGTACCTGATGTAAAAGAGTCACTTCAGCCTAAGCTACGGGACATCAGCATAGCCCTGGGGCAGGACTGTCCACTAGAGCCAAGTTACCCAGTAAGTGTTACATGGTACAGTTTAGGCTTCTTCTCAGTTAAATTATTGTTCTTTCTTGCCTCTGTCTACTTTGTAGTGGGGTGTATTTGTAACTATATGTTTGAATCCACCAGCTGCTTCACAAGAACAAGATGGGACAGTCTCCTTCCATAGAGATTTACAGCCTTGGAAACCTAATGGAGGGTCACTAAGAGTTGGAATTGATGTGATAGCAGTGGGCTTTGGATTTCGGAGTTAAAAGTGGTCAGCCTTCCTTTAAAAATTAAACATAGAGTTACAATATTTTAAAAAGTCAAAGAGTTTCTCTTTAGTCGATTCTGACTCATAACAATCCCATGTAGTTTAGAGGACAAGTGATATTTTGGAAGTAATTTTCTCAAGGTACCTCTGAGTGGATCCAAACTGCTAACCTTTGGTTAGTAGGTCATTGATTAGATATTTGTGCCACCCAAAATTTCTTAGCACGACTACATGACTTTGACATTCCACTGCTAGGTAAATACCTAAAAGAATCAAAAGCAAGAACTCTAGCAGTTATATTGTTGTTCCCATCAGTGTTCTCATAATAGGCACAGGGAGGACACAGTGCAAGTATCCATCAACAGATGAACAGATAAACACAATCCACTCCATCTATTCAATGAAATATCACTTGGACATAAAGACAAAGTGCTAGATGCTACAACATGAGTGAAAGAAGAAAGATATAGAAGGACAAATATCATATGATTCTACTTATATAAAATAGCTAGAAAAGGCAAACTCACAGGGAGAAGAGCAGATTCATTGTTACCAGGGGGTGGGAAGAGGGGGAGTGGACAGTTAGCGTTTCAAAAAGAAAAGAATAATAACCCAATTACTGTGATGTCTCTCTGGGTCTAGAATTTTCCCCACCCCGGGACTGTTCTAGACATACTTGCTGCTTGGTTTGATTTCCTGGCCATTCTTGTACCACTTAAGAGGAAGGTCTGGGTCACTGATCTCCACCACCAACTTGATCTTGTTGCCCCTGTCCACTTGGTAGGCTGGATCCAGCTTCTTAGTGAAGGCTGGAGATGGAAAGATGCAGAGAGGCTGGAGGTAAGTCCTCTGTGCCGTCTCATACCCAGAGATCCCAAATCTCCCTCTCCACACTATGGATTGGATTCTCCAACGTCAAAGTTAGAAAGCCTCCTCTGAACCTGCAGGTCCCTGAGAAAAGAGTCCCACTATTCCTCAGACTAAACTTCCAAAAGACAAGCCCAGGACCCAAACATCAGTTACCCATGATACAGGGTTCATCTCCCTGAGACTGAAGCTGACCTGCACTCTTCTTGACCTCAACCTTGGCCTTCTTGAGCCGCTTCAGCATGCCGCGAAGGTCAGTGATGCCATACTGGAAGGCAATCTTCTCATACTCGCTCTTCTTTGTGGCCCCTTTCAGGAGCTCCCAAATCTCAGGTGGGATACCAAGGTCATCATCATCTTTCTTCTTTTTCTTCTTCTCCTCCTCTTCAACCACCTCCCTGGGGGTGGAAAGGACAGGCCGAGGCCACCAGCAGTGAGAAGATGTTAGCCTTTCTCTAATTACCACATTTGCTTTCTGTATCAGCTCACCTAGTCACTTTCTCTTTCTGGACCATTTCTTCCTTATTCTATCCCTCCTAAACTATCCTCTCAGCCTTCCCTTTCACTTCTTGGCTTTTCGTCACTGCTCCTCCAATTTGTTCTCCAAGTGGCCCCAGATGGATGTTTCTGACTCCCACAACTGATGCCATTCTTTCTACATTCCAAACTTGCCCTTGGGTCTTCATTGCCCTCAGCCTAGCATTCCTGCTTTCACAACCTTCCAGACTCTTCTTCCCTCACCATCCCCACAACCATCCAAACCAAACCACGTGAGCTCTTTCCCTGAACGTGCTAGTATCTTCCCTGCCCCCAAGTCTTTGCATAAAAATGTTTCCCTGCCTGAATGACCCTTCTCTGCCTTCTCTACCTGATAAACTCCTCTTCATCCTGCAAAACCCATCCTCTAGGGTCTTATCTCCTCTCAGGAGGTAAGTTACTCTCACTCTAAGTCTCACAGGTTTATTGTGGGTCCCTTTTCCTAACCATTCTATGAATGTGTCTCTTGGGCCAGACACCTCTACCCACAACAGCAAGGACCAAGCTGAACTTCTCTCTGTCAGGAGAGCTCCTGATTGTCAGGATCTGCCACAAGATGTGTGATCAATAATAGAATGAATTAACAGACCTTTGGGATGAAGAAGGGAAGGGAAAGGAAGGGAGGTGTGAGTGAACGAGTCAGTGTGTGAATGACAAGGAGCTGTGTGGGTCGAATATTGGTTGAGTCAGGGAGTGGATGGGCAGAGAAAGGGCTGAGTAGTAGGCATTGAATTTAGGGATGACAGAATGGAAAAAATAGAAGCCCTACCTCACCCATACCCATGTCTTCTAGCCCCCCACCTCCAGCCCCTGTTTCCTCCTCCCTATACCAGGTGGGCTGGCTCACCTCTTCTTCAACAGGCCACTGAAATCCAGCTCACCTGCATCTTCTGACTTCTCTTCCCCCCTGTTGGTCAGTGAGTTGGGTGTGAATCCCTCTGAGGTCCTGCCTCCTCCACACTCACCCCAGAGGCCCCAAGCCCTTGCCTCCCCCAATCCTCTCCCATAACTCCTCCTCCCAAGAGAGACTCTCCCGCAGTCCTTGGCCTCTGGAGGTGGAATTCCTCTTCCCAGGGGCCCTGGGGTCACTTACGAACGTTTGAAGTTTTCTAGACTCTGTCCAGAGGCATCCTGACGTGGAGCTGGGAGAGGCAATGGGAGCGGGGGAGGGAAGGATGGTGAGCTGCAGGGAAACGCAGCTCCCAGGTCAGGGCACCTGCCCCTCCAGGTCTGCACGACCTTGCCAACACCCCTCTGACCCTCTAGCAGTAGTCACCCTCACTCTTCAAATGCTGCCTGATATGTCCTCAAGCTGGTGCCCCACAACACTGGAATTCACATCACCTTCGCATGCGCACCCCAAAACCTTGAACACCCTAACCCTAAAATCTACAATTCCTCACTCCTAACTCTCAAGGCATATTCTCACACTCTAAACCTATAAATGATCTCTCTTAATTTTTATTTTTTAAGCAAAGAAGTTTTACTGGGGGCTATCAGGCGAGGTTCACTGTCCCAGGTCGGAGAGGGGCTGGAAGGATCAGAGAAGTCGCCAATCTCGCTTAATTTTTTTAAATTCTCTGACCAAAGTCCTTCTAGTTAAACTTCCACTCAAAGCCTGCACCCCACACCCCACTTCCGTGTGCTCTCGCTATTCATGGCCAGCACCTCCGTCCCCCACCCGAAGCCCACAGCCCTTGTCCCCCAGCCCCGCCAGCGCACCCTCCACATCGATGTTGAAGCCACAGCTGTCGCAGGCGTCCTTGGCTTTGACCTCCAGCCGGTAATCCCCACGGTCCCCCAGAACCACCTTCCCAATGTGCAGCTCCACGGTGTATACCTGGGGGCCAGGGCCAGGGGTGTGGGTGCACGTGACCACTCCCCTGAGCCCACTTCACCGCTTTCACCCTGAGCCTCCTCACCTCCATCCACAGTGGGGCTGACAGAGCCCAAGAATGGCAAGCGTGGCACCTAGGGCTACTTGAGTTTACTCAAACCTGGACAGTGCTGTCCCACGGAGCTCTGGGCCTGTGACTTCCTGGGACGTACACAGTCACGACCAAGGGCACCCCGCTCTAACCTCAACATGCTGCCCTCCTAGTCAGTACCAGCTCTCGCAAGAACACCAGAGTCTCCACCTTGAAGGCTGCAGGCCCCAGGGCTGCTCAGGAGATGGGGTCCCCTCGCACAAGCCTCAGCCCCATACCCACACCCGCTCCTGCACCCCCTGGTCCTCACATTGCTGGCCGAGTCGTGAGATTCCTTGAAGGAGAATCGGGCGCCGCTCTTGCTGTCCAGCTCCTGCCACTTCCCCTTGAACCACTTGATGGTCGGTTTGCCCGGGAGCTCCTTCCCATTCACCTTGGCCACGACCACCGCATCCTTTCCTGGACAGGGGGGTGAGGCAGGGACCCTAAGACTCCCCAGGACAGGCTAAGGAGTCCAGTTTCCCAGTTCTCACCTTCTTCAGACCTGTGAGTCAGGGTCCCAGACTCTCCCCTCAAGACCCCAGGGTCCTGTCCCCAGACCTTGACCTCTAAGATTAGGTGTCAAAGGTCCCAGTCTCTCCTCCCTCCAACCTACAGCCTGGGCCTCTAGCTGCCTCCTCCCTCAGACACAGGAGTCCTGAGTCCCAGGCCCTCCTCCCTCAGACCCCTAGGTCCTCCTCCCTCAGACCTGGAGTCCTGACCCCCAGGCCTTCCTCCCTCAGGCCTCCAGCCCCTCCTCCCTCAGGCCCCTAGGTCTTCCTCCCTCAGACCTGGAATCCTGACCCTCAGGCCATCATCCCTCAGACCATAAGGCCCTCCTCTCTCAGACCTGGAGTTCTGACTCCCAGGTCCTCCTCCCTCAGACCTGAAGCCCTAAGCTCAAACCCAGGGATTTTCTCCCCACTCCCAGCCCTCTCACCGGCCTCCACAGACACATAGTCCGGCTTCTTCAGGAACACCCCAGTGGGTTCTTCCACTGTGGGGGACTGGTCCTCAGGTGGAGTTTCTGCTCAGGAGACAGGACACAGGGTCAGAGACAAGCTGGGTGGGGTGGGTAGCAGGCCATAGTGGGCAAGGGGCTTACAGCCGGTGAACCCCTCTGGTCAGAAGTCAAAAATCAGGACGGAGAAGTGGCTTCCCTGACCTGGGAAAGCTCAGGAGTCACTGGGGTGGCTGTGTGACCATCATCAGGTTGCCTGTTCCCTCTGTATGTGTAGGTTTAGAGTCACCCCATCTGTTTAGTGGGGACCTGCAGGTGCCCCATCCACATACTGAAGGTTTGTGGGTAATCCCTCGCCCCACTTCCGGTCAGGGGCATTCAGAGCTGGACGCCCTTGATCGGCCAGCCTGGTGATGAAGTTGAGAGGCCGGGCTGATCTTGGGGAAATGAGTCCTGGTGGCGCAGTGATTCAAGCCTTCAACTGCCAATGGAAAAGTCAGTGGCTGGAACTCACCATAAGCTCCACAGGAGAATGATGGAGTCAGGGTCAGGGTCAGGGTCAGGGTCAGGGTTAGGAGTCAGCTTCTGCAGCCCCCGGCACCTTTGGAAATTCTAAGAGGCAGTTCTGCTCTGTCTTATAGGGTCACTGTGAGTCAAGCTGATACCATGGTCTTGGGTTTGGTTGGGGTCTCAGGGTACTGGGGAGCCCTGAGAGGGTTAGGAGAAAGGGAGAGGCAAGGGACAGCTCTGGAGTGTCCCAGGGACTGGGCTGGGGGCCAGGGAGGAGACTAGACTGAAGGTGGACATGAGTGAGGGGAACAGAGATGAGACGCTGAGTTTGGCTCGGCCCAAGGGAACACCCATCTATCTCACCTTTGGGGGGCTCTGCAGGAGCATCCTTTGGGGGAGCTTCTTTGGGGGCTTCTTTCCCTTTGGGGGCTTTTTTGGCTGCTGTGAGGTAGAAGAAAGAGCTATTCAGTTACTTATGTCCTCCCACCGTCTTCTTTCATGAACTTGGAATCCAGGACCCCCAACCCCTCAGGCCCAGGGGTCCTGAGTCCCAGCCCCTCCTCCCTCAGACCCAGGGGCCCTGACCCGCAGCACCTCTTCCCTCAGATGCAGGGACTTTGACCCCAGCCCCTCCTGCCTCAGATCCAGGGTTCCTGACTCTGGGGTCCCTCCCACCTCAGACACAGGAGTCAGAATCCCCAGCTCCCAGCCCTGCTCCCCTTAGACCCTGGAACCCTAAACTCCAGCACCTCCTCCCTCAACCCAGGAGTCCTGACCCCCAGCCCCTTCTCCCTCAGACCCAGGAATCCTGAGCCCCCGTGCCTCCTCCATCAGACTCAGGTGTCAGAATCCCCAGCCCCCAGCCTCTCCCCCAGGAGTCCTAAACCCCAACCTCTCCTCCCTCTGACCTTAGGGTCCTGACCCCCAGCGCCTCCTCCCTCAGATCCAGGGATCCTGACTCTCGGCCCCTCCTCCAGCCCCTGTTGGCCCCCATTTAAGGCATGAGTTTAGCCCCACTCCTGAGTGTACAAGATCAGCTTTCCCAAGCAAGCCCCACCCTCCCCACCCAGGCCACTAGACCCTGACCTTTTGGGACCTGGCGGTATAATTAGCTCTTCCCCTGGGCCGGAAACTGGACACCCGGTGCTGACCACAGCGCCTTTCACCTGCCTTGTGCTGGCTCCTGGCCTACCAGGGGGGCTGGACCCCCACCCACAGCCTGCTTGGCCTGGGGCCAGGGATGAGGACACCCCAGGAGAAAGACCAGATCTCCTACAGAACAATGCCCCCTATGGCCCATTCATATAGGAACCCAATATGGAAAACAGCAAAGAAACCCACTGCCCCAAATCCACCCCATTTCATTGCACCCTTCATGTTGGGTGTCCCAGACTGAAGTCTTCGTGAGAGGAGACCACCCAGCTTTCTCCACCACAGTGGTTGGTGGATTCGAATCACCAACCTGTTGGCAGCCCCATATGTCACACATGCCACCACCAGGGTCCAAAGACCCCCTAATTCCTACACAAGGAAGCCTTGGTCCCCTTATAAACCGGGACCCCATCCATTCACATGCTTCACCATTAAATGAGGTATCTCCCATCTTCATATATCTGAGGGTGTCAACTGTCCTCTGAGAAAGACTCCCTCATCTTCACTCAAAGAGTCTTCACCCCACATAGAGGTCTTACAAGAAAGACTCCCTGATCTACACACACAGGCTCCCGGTTTCCAATGGAAAGAAAGGGTTCCCCCCATTCACAGAGTCTCTACCTTCATACAGAGGTGGCTCCTCAAACCCCCACCTTCCTCCATGCTCTGAAGGGGCCCGACCTCCCCAAGCACAGAAAGGATACTCTTACAGAGATAGGGTCACCCTTAAACTCTACACACACGGAGTTCCCCCATTCCTAAACACACAGAAAGCTCTTCCTCAATCCCCATACACAAATATACGGGCTCCTTCATCCCCACACAAGAAGAACCCTTCTCCACAGAGAGGACACCCCATTCTCCCAACCCCATAATGGGAGGATACCCCCAGTTCCCATTCTGAAGAGAGGTCCTGGTCCCCATGAGGGATCAGGTCGCAGTAGCCACCTGGCTTTGGCTCAGGCATGGCGGCAGCAGGGGACCGTCTCCTCCTCCGAGGGCAGCTAAGTGTGGGCCCCCAGGGGGAGCCCTTTAAAGAGACCTGAGACTCCCAGGAGTCTCCGGGAGGCATGGGGGACAGCCCTCTCCGCCCTCTGCTGCCCACATTCCACACGCATGCTCTGAAGGGCGACAAGTGACAGCTGGGCTTAGAGGGGTGCCAGCTCCTCGGAAAGTGGGGCTCAGGACTGGACACCTGGGCCTGAGGGAGGAGGAGGCTGGAGGTCAGGGCTCCTCCTGGGTCTGGGGGGAGCGCATTGGGGGGACAGGACTTCTAAGTCTGATGGAGGAGGAGGCCTGGAAGACAAGATTCCTGGGTCTGATAGAGGAGGGGCTGAGGTTCTTGGGTCCGAGATGGGGGACTTTGCAGAGGGGACCCCTGGGTCTACGGGAGAAGGCGAGACTTTCAGGTCTGAGGCAGGAGGGGACTAGGGTCTTGGGCTCCAGACCCTGAGGGAGACGGTGTGTGTAGAACTTCTGAATCTGGGGGAGAAGAAGGGGGGTGGGGGGACTCCAGGATCCAAAAATCTGTGGGAGGAGGGGCTTGGGGTTGAGGACTCCAAGGTCAAGGTCTGAGAGAGGAGCGAGGACCTGGAATCTTGGATATGCAGGGAAGGGCGTCCGGGGGTCCCAGACTGATGGGGAGCGATGGGAGGAGCTAGGGTCTCGAGCGGGTAAGGGTTGGCGCCCTCCACGAATGGGTCTGGAAAGCCATTCTTAGCATCTGCAAGTCAGGAGTTTTCGGGAAACCGAAGCCGGGAGGAGGGTCAGTTTCCCAGCGTAGGCAGGACGCGGGGAGGGGGAGCCTGCATCCCGGGGACGCCTGGGCGCAGAGAGGCCCCGCCCCGGACGGGGCAGACCGCAGGCCTGGGGTTGGGGACACCTGCGCCCGGCCTGGCCTGTGCGCCCCTTGCCCCTCCTCTGCGGACTGTTCCTGGGGCGGGCACCAAAGAGGGGGGCTGAGGTGGGGGTCCCCAGCGGGGCTGGGGGAACCGGGAAGGCCCTGGAGGGCTGCCCAGAGGCTGGCGCCCTTCCTGGCTGGCGACCTGTGGCTTTCTGAATGGGGCGGGGAGGGGGGGGTGGCTGGATGCCAGACTGGGGTGGGAAGGGGGAAGGATCCTGGGGGAAGGAAGGGGCTGGGGGCGCCCAGGTGCTCTGGGGTGGGCTAGGGGACGAAAGGGCATTAAAGGGAAAGGCAGGGTCTGGAAATTTGGGCTTAGGTTTTTAGGGACACTAAGGATGGGTGAGAAATGCCAAGTGTGACCGAAGACCAGCCGCTCCTCCCTTTCTTCTAGCCCCACTCCCCCCTCCCGCCTTTTCCAAAAGCCCCTAAGAGCCGGAAAGTTCCCCGCCCCCAGGGCAAGCCCAGCCAACCGGGCGGTGGCCTGTGAGTGATGTCACAGGTTGCCAGGCAGACTGACGCATCGCCCCACAGAGGGCAGCCAAGTCAGGTGGGTATTGTGACTGGTGGACCTGCCACCTGGAGTCCTCCCCAGCCAGAGAGTAAGGATAGAGACCCAGAAAAAGAAACCTCAGACGGGGAGAGAGAGAAAGAGAGAGAGAGAGAGAGACAGGCTTAGAGAAAGGATGGGAGGGACCCAGAGAGAAAGGGAGAGACAGGGAGACAGAGACCCAGGGAGATAGGAAGACAAATCTAGAAGAAGGGGAAGGGAGACCCAGACAGAGATAAGGAGACAGAGATTCAGAGACAGGGGGACAGAGATCCAGAGAAAGACAGGGATGGAGCCAGAAGAAAGGGAGACAGAGACTCAAGATAAGGGGGCAGAGATCCAGAGTGTAGAACAGAAAAAACCCGGGGGAGAGCCACCAAGAAAAAGGTGATATAGTTAGAAACCCAGAGGGGAGGCCCAGAAAGGTGAGAGAGATTAAAGACCCAGTGAGGAGGTCGAGAAAGGATGAGGGGGAAGTTAGAGATTCAGAGAAGAGACAGGCAGGAATGACAAACCTCATATTGACAGGTAGAAAGAGACACAAACATTAAACAGAACATCCCATGGCCTCCTCTCAACTCCCTTGTCCCGGCTCCTAAGTGCCTCCAGCCGGCCTCTCTGATCCCTCCTCACATCCTTCCATAGATATCCAGTGTCTCTTAGAGGCACGGGCCCCACTGGGGGCTAGAGGACAGGACTGCAGCTTCAGGTTCCAGGAAGCCTGGTTTTTATATTTTATTTCACATTTGGATGGGGTTCCCCCCCACCGAAGTGTACATCATTTGCAGGAGGAAAACTTTCAGGGGCTGAACGCCCCTCCTAGCCACTCATGGGCCCAGCCTGGGCTCTGTCCACCAGCTGCTGTGTGCCCCTGGGGTGGACACTGTCTTATCTTTATCTTCCTCTTCATCCTCGCTGGTGGGGAGCGGGGTGCATTTTGGGAGACATATCGAAAGCTTTGGAGCCAGGCAGCAAAGTGGTTAAGTGGTGGGCTGCCACCATCCACTCCCGCAAAGATGAATGAAAACGTGGAGACCCTGATGGCCAGTCCTCCCCTCCCACAGTGTCACCATGGGAGGGAACTGATTTACTGGTTGAGTAGACTGCAAGAAATCTTGCTCCTTTTCTCCCTGTTCTACAGACAGGGTAAACTGAGGCCTCGAAGCAGTAAGTCACTCATTCTCTTTCAGTCTCCCTGTCACCCAGGCCTTAAGGACCCCTGATCCCTCCCGGTGGTCTCCATCCACGCTCCCCTCATTCGCCCTCAGTTCCAGCCGGACGTAGTGCACCAGGAGTGAACACGCTGATGGTGCGGGCTGAGCAGGCAGCTGAATGAAGTCGCTGCTGTCAGGAAGCCAGGAGTGGGGGCGGGGAGGGGAACTGGACAGCTGCCCAGACTGCACCCCATTAATGAAGCGGGCTGGACCATCCGTCCAGCGATGATTCTGCAAACTGGGATTCTGTCATTTCACCGTTTTTAAAACACTGGCCAATTAAGGTGTGTTTTTTTTTTCTTTTTCTTCCCAAAAGCCCAATGCAGTGAACAAAAGAAAACAGCACCAGGGGCTTAGTTTGCCTGGGGCGGGGAGGGGTGAAAGAAGGGTGTCTGTCGGCTTGAAACATCCGGTTAGAAATGAAATAGCAGAATATCGAGGTCACCCCGAAAGCAGGCAATCAGACAGAATGATCCCCAGTGTGGCCATAAGGTAGAGACCCCAAAAAGAGTGAAGGTTCCCATAAGAAACTCAGAGTTGCTGGTGAGGTCCCTCAAATGGGCATTATACGTGGGGGATCTAATGGTGGGGGGCTCGGATGTTGACTGGAGGTTCTCAGATCTCAGAAAGTTCCCTGAGGTTCCCCCACCCCCAACCATGAGAAGGATGACAATGGGATTTGGGAGCACATAGGACAAGGGGGTCCCAGAGGGGTCCCAAACGTGACACAGAGATCTGAGCCATGGAAGGAGTTTCCAGGCATAACTGAAAGATCTCAGATCTGACAAGATCCAGACATGACAAGGGGATCCCAGAGGTTTTGTTAGATTTGTCAGTACTGAGACTTCTTCAGATGTAGGGTGTCTGTGGGCTCCTCTTCAGATGAAATTGTGGGGTTACAGACACATGAACTCTCAAGAGAGGTTCCAGGTCTGTTTGGGGGTTCTCAGATATCTCAAGGTGACCCCAGAGAAGCATAGAGGACGCTGGGAGTTTTGAAAGCACCTCTCCAAACTCCAGTGGTCTATGGGTCCGGGGGCCCTTAGACATACAACCTTGGGTGTGAAAAAGGGACTCCCAAAGGGGCCCCCAGATGTGGGTGGGGGATCCCAAAAGGGCTCAGAGCAATGCTTAACGATTATGGAAATCCCCTCCCCCCCCAGTGTAGGGTCCATGGGCCCTAGGACCCATTATGTGGGGATGCCCATGTGCCACATGACACAGAGGGGCCCTGTCTGAGGCGTGAGGTCCCCCAAACAGCTCCACAGCTGGTGCGGGGCTCCTGGGGCTCCCTAGGCAGGGCGCGGAGCCCCCAAGGGTCCCCTCCCAAGTGGGGGCTCAGGCCCTGCGGGTGGCGGACAGCAGCGCACTGTCGAACTGATAGGTGAGCTTGCGCTTGACCTTGCGGATCTCGCCGGTCTTGGCGTAGTTGCGCAGGGCGCGCGCCAGCTTCTGGTAGGTCATGCGCTTGCGGTTGCCCTTCTGCTGGCCCCAGCGGCGCGCCAGCAGCTCCTTGTGCTTCGAAGAGAACTGGAAGACCCCCGCGCCCGGCTCCACCCACCACACGCACTCGCGCATGTCTCCGCGGGTCAGCAGCCCCAGCAGGAACTGGTACAGGCGCAGCTTCTTGCGCGCTCCTGGGTGGGGCGGGAGGGGCATGTCGGGGGCGTGTCCTGTAGACCCCGCCCACTTCCCCCCACTCCCCCTCCCACCTGCCTCCACTCCTTTGGGCCCTTGCCAAGTCTCAGCTTCCCCATCTGGAAAACGGGAGAGTGAAACTCGTGACTAGTGAAACTGGTGTCCCCACCACCAGCCAGTGGCTCTCCTGTCCGAACCTGGTACCTTCCAGAAGCCTCATTTCCTGCTTCCCATTTGCAGTGGGACCCTGGGAAAGGTCCAGGGAGCTGACTGATTTCTACAATCGTAGAAGCAGCACATTGCGCAGCTAACTAAAAGCCTGCCGGTTCGAATCCACCAGCTGCTTCGTGGGAAAAAGATGGGCAATCATCTGCCATGTGGTTGACAGCTTCCAAAAACATGCTAGAGGATCAGCTATGAATCAATTCCAAATCAATAGTAATGAATTGTCTTGGTCTTTTTTTCGGAGAAGGAACAACTAGCTTATAGAGCCATGCAGCTCGCTGGATGCAAGAACCTTCCCTCTATCATTTTCCCGCTGTGTGAGCTTGGGGGAGGAACTTAACCTCTCCAAATATTTTATGTCTTCAATTATAAAATGGAGCATGCGTGTGTGTGTGTGTGTGTGTGTGTGTGTGTGTGTGTGTGTGTCTGTGTTGGGGGTGGAGGGTAGATGGGTGTCCCTAGATGTGTAAGCAGTTAATAAGCTCAGCTGTTAACAGAATGGTTAGTGAGTGGTTCAAGTCAGCGCAGAGGGACCGTGGAAGAAAGGCCTCCTTGGGCCTTCCTCCTGAGTAACGCCCATCTCCACTGCACAGCTAGGCAAATAAGGCCCAGAGGGACAGAGGAACTTGCCCAAGATCACACCGCCAGCAAGTGGCAGATGCAAAACCAAACCACAAGGTCTTAGGTTCTATTCTGCTCCCCGCCCCGGGATTCCGAGGTCATTAATCTTCAGGGAAGCTGACCCTCAGTCACATCCTTTCTCTCAAGGAGCAAACGACAGGCTCAAACCACCAACCTTGAGTGTAGCAGGCAAGCATTTTAATCACTGTACCACGACTCTGTGGTAAACCATGTGGCCTAATTCGGCCTCATGAACACCCTACATCATATTTCTGAGCCTGTAAATTGTGACGGGAAGACATTGCTTCCTTTATCTTTCTCCCACCGAGCAGCTTGGTGGATTCAAACCAGGGACCTTCATCCTCAAAGTCCTACGCTGGAGCCCCCTTACCCCCCACCCTAGGCTCCCACGTACCTGCATCAGCGCCCCTCCCCTCGGCCCCCGTGAAGAGGGCCTCCTCCGAGTCGCTGTCCGAAACCTCCAGCGTGGGGCTGTTCAGCACAAAGTCCTCCTCCTCAGACAGCCCAGGGCTGGGGTACGGGATGTAGGCAGCGGGGGCGCCCAGGGACTGTGGAAGATCAAGAAGTGGGTCACCCACTTATCCCAGGGACACTTTGCACCCTCCCTCACCTTCGCCCTAAAACTCTCCCAGCTTGATTATATCCTCAGGGGGGTGGCAATGGGGGTGCCCTTCTTTGCTCTGTCTGCGCCTAAGCGGGCACGTGGTGCAATGGGATAGTCCTGTCACTCGCCTGGGACTCTGGTCCCGCTCACCGGCGACCCCCAGCGTGAGCAGAGGAAAACTGCATTCCAACGGTTTCCTTGGCTGAGACCATTTGGAAGCAGATCGCCAGGCCTTTCTTCCGAGGCGGCTCAGAAAAAGTTCAAATGCCAACCTTTTGGCTGGTAGTCGAGTGTTTGACTATTTGCGCCACGCAGGGACCCCAGGGGGTAATAACCCAAGCCCAGCCCAGCCCAATCCACCAGAGTCTAGTCTGTTCCCATTCACAGGAACCCTCCAATGGGTTTGCAAGGCTGTCAATCTTCCCGGATCCTTCTCTCAAGGATCAGCTAGTAGATTCGAATCACTGACCTTGAGGTTGGCAGTACAACATTTAACAAACTTCACTACCACAGCGCCTTAAACTGAGAGGGTTGTCAATTGAACAAGAACAACAACAAAGACATTGTGGCCACCTCGGCAAAGCAAAGCACAGAGCAGTAAGGCCCCACTGGGAGGCCAATAATATTTCTGGAATGAGGCTGCCATATCTTTTATCCACAGAGTGGCTGGAGGGCTTGAACTGCTGGCCTTTCTGTTAGCATCCAAGCACTTAACCAGCGCACCACCTTGACTCCTGACTAGTGAGTTTAGCTTTATTAGTAATAATATTATTTTGTTGTGTACCAGCCAGTCAGAAGGGCCCCACAGTTGACCCTCCAGCGAGTTTTCAGAGGCAGAGAAGACTGCCCATCCTTCTCCCCTGATAATAATATTAAGAGGGTAAAAGAAATAAGAAAGATCCAGTGGGGACCTGAAAAGACAGGGTAATGATGCTGGGAATAGTCCAATGGTGATTAATTTTATAAAACATAATGTACAATTTGAGCTCTGGTGGCCTAGTGGCAAGAAGCTGCACTACAATCCCAGAGGTGCACGGTTCCAATCCACCAGATGCTCTGCTGGAGAAGAAGGGACAATCTCCGGCTGCACCAGTCAGATATGATTTGATGGTATACACACACACACACACACACACACACAAATAATTAAATTTAAAAAAGCACATAATGTATGAGAATGATTGTATGAAATCCAACTTCAATGAAGAACAGTGTGAAACACAATGTATATAAATTTTGAAAGCAAACCAATACAAAATGAAAATTAGTAACAATAAGGAGCTCCAGTAGCCTAGGGGAGAAGAAGCCAACTCAAAGGGTTCGAATCTACCAAAGAAGCCAACTCAAAGGGTTCGAATCTACCAGCTGCTCCCCGGGAGAAAGATGGACAATCTCCGCTTGGATGATTTACATCCTCTGAAAACTTATTGGAGGGTCAACTGTGAGTCAGTTCTGATTGGATGGCAATAAGCTGGGTTGTTTATTATTATTATTATTATTATTATTATTATTATTATTATTATTATTAAATTATTTTTTATGTGTGTACCATCAAGTCGGATCTGACTGGTACAGGAGGAGATTGCCCCTCCTTCTCCAGCAGAGCATCTGGTGGATTTGAACCGCTCACCTCTGGGATTGCAGTACAGCTTCTTGCCACTAGGCCACCAGAGCTCCCTTGCAATGAGCTGTATTGTTTTTAATAATAATAATAATAATGTCTACCCTGACCTATACTAATTTTTTTAATGGGTGATGGGGCCTTCTGGAAAACCCAGAAGACCTTCTAGACAAATTCAGAAAGAGTTGTAACACTCCAATACACTCTTTTAAGATCTATATGAGATCAAATTGACAAGAGCAATTAAAATTATTATTATTTTTTTTAGAGGGCAAATGAGGAGACACAACTCAGAAAAGGGAGGGTGAGGATGGTGACACGGCTTCAAAGATGCACTGTGAGATGTTTATGTGGAAACTGGGGAATTGATGTCTGTTCTGCTGTGCGTCCTTTCAAACAGCAAAATTAATTCCATCAAAACACCAAACACAGATGCTCTGCTGGAGAAGGAGGGGCAAATCTCCTCCTGTACCAGTCAGATCCAATTTGACAGTACACACAAAAAAAATAATAACATTAAAAAAAACCGCAAACAAACAAAATAGTCATCAATCGCTGCCAAGTCGTTTCTGACTGAGATGCATCGGGACATCATGTCAGAGTAGAACAGTTCTGGGGTTTCCTATGGCTGCGACCCCCAGGAAGTGGGCCACCGGGGGAACTTCCTTCTGAGAAGCCTCTGGGTGGATTGGAACCGTCAACCCTTTAGTTAGTACCCCAGCAGCCTTGAATTCTTTGAGTCACCCAAGGACTCTGTTAAAAGGCTAAAGAGATTCACACATTGAACACGTTTTAATGATGCATTTGGCACTTGAGGAGTACAGATGGTGTGGCACGTACCCAGAAGTAGGTGGTTCAAATCCACCAGCAGCACCATGCGAGCAAAGACGAAGTCTGCTTCCATAAAGAAGCCGTTTGGGGCAGTTGAAGCCCTGTCTTGGGGGTTCTCTGTGAGTCAGAATGGACTGAAGGCAGGGGGTGTGTTTTTGATGTGTTGGGGGGGGTTGTTTGTTTTGTGGGTTTTTTTTTAGTAAAGAAGATTAAGTGACAGATGTTTTCAGGGTCTCCAAGCCCCTCACCTGGCTGGGAAAGTCCTCCGTGGGGTACGCTGGGAGGCCAGGGCCTAGGGCTTCCAAGCTGGGTGTCAGGTCAAGGCCCCCGACAGGGCTGTAGGTGGAGGGTCCGTAGCAGAGAGGAACGCTTTGGGGGTGTGCAAAAGCAGCTGATGCAGGGTCAAAGGTCTCGTAGAGGGCAGCTGGGGCAGGCGGGGCCTCGGTCCAGCCCCACAGGGAATCTGGGGTGGGGGTAGCATGGAGGATGAAGAGTCAGACACCAGGACGCCTGGCCATGCCTGCTCCAACACACAGAGGGACCATTGTGGACTGTGCAAATCTCTGACCCCAAGATTTGCATGGGAGTGGGGTCCTGGGGGAGGAAGAGGGGAGGAAAGGAGGCCCAAAGGCATGCGGTCCCCTTATCTGGCCAAGAGCCAGGTGGTGGCCTCCCTTGGGCCTCAGCTTCCCCATCTGTGAATTGGGCCTGGGGAGGGAGAGAATGGGGGTGGGGTCACTCACCAGGAGCCCCTTCTGCATCGGGGTACCCGGAGTGCTTGCAGCTGTCTAAGTCGTAGAAGATGCCGTCTGAGTACTGAGGAGGGAGGGGGTGGCAGGGGTCATCCCAGACACGGGGTGACCCCCCACCCCACCCAGGACAAACAGGCAGACTAACACGGACAGGTGGACGGAGAGAGGGCCCACCCCACCCAGGACAAACAGGCAGACTAACACGGACAGGTGGACGGAGAGAGGGCCACAGAGACAGAGGGGGACAGAGGGATGCAGGGAGACAGTGACAACGAGATGCCTGGGGAAGAGGCAGAGACAGTGCAGGAAAGACAGTGATGGAGAAAGACATCCAGACACGCAGCGAGCTCAGGGACCCTGCAGGCCAGCCGTGTCGCTCCTGTGTCCCCAGGGCCACCCGCACACAGCCAGCACTCCAGAGCCTGGGGACTGGTGTGGAAGAGTTCACCCCAATCTTGCCTGCTACCGTGGTGGACAGGTTAGAGGCCGAGAGGACAGAGTGTCTCATGACTCTTTGGGTGACCTTAAATGTTGCTTCAATCCATCCCCCAAAATCACAAGTGCCTTTAGGCCTGAAGCCCACCGCCAAGTTGGGTCTGACTCCCAGCGACCCTGTAGGACAGAGTGGAAGTGGCCCGTGGGTGTTCTGAGGCTGTCAATCTTCAGGGAGGCGCCTGAGTCAGCATCTGCTCGTGGAACGGATGCGGGACTCGAACCACAGGCCTTTCTCTTAGCAGGTGAACCCTTTAACCACAGTGCCACTGATGCTGCTTGCTTTAGTCCTTAATATCTAGCAATTAGCAAGGAAGGAGCGCTGGTAGACATGTTATACTAACGAAAGGTTGCTGGTTCGAATCCACCAGATGATCTGAAGAAGAGAGCAGTGTTCTGCCTCCACACCCTCTAGAGGGTGGCCATGAATTGGGACCCATTTGAAGGCAGTGGGCTTTGGGGGGGGGCGTTGCTGGGTTTTTTGTTTTGTTTTTCTAAACCCAAGAAGGGCCTCCATTCAAAATGTATAGGAATTACTGAATGGAAAAATGACCTGTCAACTTTCACCCAATTAGTAATATAATGTTAAAAGGGGAGGGGTAGAAAGATGCTCTGGTGTCACAGTCATTAAATGCTTGACTGTTAATCCAAAGGTAGGTAGTTCAATGGCACCCACCACCCAGGAGAAAGGCTTGGCAGTTAAGAGGTGGCGACACTTCTTTCATGACCCTCCACGTTCATTCACTTCTTCCCCCTAACTTGGTAATCAATCTGCAGCTTGGAAAATCCTACTGAGGCGTTCAGCTCTGCCCTTTAGGGCTGCTGCTGTGAGTTGGGATCAATTTGATGGCAACAACAGCATATTTACAGGCTGGAGTACTATACAGCAAGGTAAAAGGTCAAAGGGGGGGGGGGACGACACACATTCCATGTCGTGCTATGGGAGCCAGTTACAAAAAAGGGACCCACTGCAAAATCCATGTCACAGAAAGTTCAAAACCAGACCGGAGCAACCCTGGAGGGAGGGGCGTGGGGGGGAGGGGTCTGTCCGGGGAGCAACACGAGGGACTCTGCTGGGGTCCCACAGGGATGAGGCAGCACCATCTAGGTCGTAATCTGGCCGGCTTGTGTGCAAAGACTCATCGATGTGAGTGGTGCTTTGTTACTTTGATGACGGCAAAGCACACCTTAATTTTAAAAAAGCCAAAACCTTGCAAAGATAGAGAAGGCCCAGATGTGATGGGCAGCGGAAGACCCCAAACTTCTTGCCATCATTCGATTCCAACTCACAGAGCCCATGCAGGACGCAGAGAGCTGCCCCATGGGGGCATCCACAGCGTAAACTTTTAGGAAACAGATCGCTTGCTGCTCTGTCAGTGGCTGGTGGACCTGAACAGCTAACTTTTCAATGCATAACACACTGCACTACCAGACTTCCTTACACGTCTCAGCGAGGTTTTATTTCTCAGACTGGGTGGTGGGAACCTGGCGGTTGGGTATGTTGTTGTTGTTGTTATTATGGGCTGTTGAGTCGCCTGCGATTCATAGCGACCCTATGTACAACAGCCCTAAACTCTGCTCTGTCCTGTGCCAATCTCACTGTCTCTGACACACCCATCCCGATTACCCCAGTCACTGAATCAATCCACCTCATGGAGGGTCTTTCTCCTGTGAGAGTTGGATATAAATATCTGAAATATTATAGAATTCGGTTTGGGTTTGTTTTTTTTTTAAATGCAAATAAGAAAAGGAATAAATATATTTGTTTAATATGGAATGCAAACACAAAAGCCAGAGAAACAAAGACACAAAGCACACACGTCCTATCACAGATCCAACATGTCCACAACACACACACCATCACACACCACACAGAGAACCCACACAACACACACCACATACATGCCATGCACACACAGCACACCACAACCCCATCAAACACTGCACACACCCCAGTAAACATACAGCCATCGCACATACGCAGCCCTTATAAACACGGCATGCCCAGCACATGCACCCGTGCACACAGTAACACATGACACACGCATCCAGGTACACTACATATTCCTAACACACCACATGTAGACACAGCATATGTGCCACAAACCTGGAAAACACCAGACATCGCGCATAATCCAATACACATACACAGCACAAACACACACCCTACAACACAGCTCATCATGTGTGCACCACACAGGTAATACTCAGAGCATATACTCCATAACCACAGCGCCCCATACACAACGCAACACACATATCACACTCAGTACTCAGGACACGTATTACATACCCACAACACACTGCATGTGTCAATACACAACATGTGCCGCATTTTCCCAATACGCCGTGCACCTACGCACCCTCCAAGCAGCCCCAATGCACACACATCACGCTGCACACCCACCATATTCATGGGACACACAGTAGGTACACAAACACACACACAGAGCCCTTCATGCGAAGTAACAGTAGAAACATGGAAAGACAGGGCAGACAGGGGGCATATGTGAAGAAGTGACATCCAGGGAGAGATTCAGAAAGTGACAGGAAGGGGAAACTGAGGCACAGAGTCCGCAAGCCGAGTGAGGTCTTGGGCTGTGTGGGTCCCGGCTGCCCCATCCCCGGCTCCTGGGGACCCCTGACTCACCAGACAGCTCAGGTGGGGCCCGTCGAGCCTGGTGGGGGAGAGACACAGGGACATGTCAGGGGGCCACCACCACCTGGGCCCGTGCGCGGTCGGGAAGCTGCTGTGGGACAGAGGTGGCAGCAGCTGTGGCCACCACAGCTCGTCTGCTTTGTGGGACCGGCCCCACCACTTTCTCCGCACTCCCTATCGGGACAGGAAGTAGGAGGTGGGGGACAGGCAAATGCCCCCCCCTTAAGGATTTGCATAAACACTGGCTCAGGGAGGGGGGGAGCAGGAAAAGTGAGGGAGAGAAAGTCCCCAGAGAGATGTGGGTGCCATGGGCAGGTGGCGTGGGGAGAGGCCTGGCCAAGAGGGGCCCAGCAAGGCCTTGGTCATTCAGTGTGTTAAATGATGACAGTGGGGTGCTGGGGCAGGTGGAGAGATAGAGGGGTGAGAGAGAGAGGTGGACAGAGACTCAGAAAAGGGCAGAGACAGAGGAAAGCAGAGAGGAAGGTGCGGAAACCCAGAGGAAGGATAAAGTGAGGGAGACAGCAGGAGAGACAAGCGGATGAACTGAGGGACAGGAGTGGAAAGACAGAACAGGAGAGAGCCAGAGACACAGAATGGGGGGGGGGGCGGAGAGAAAAACAGATGAGCAGGAAGGACAGACAGGACCAAGGAGAAGGGAAATTAGAGGCAGAAGACTGAACAGAGGTAGAAATGAAGAGACGGAGGCGGAGGAGACAGACAGATGCTCAGGGCTGGAAGGACAGAGACAGATAAGAGACAGCAGCAGGCAGACAGACACAAGGTAAGAAAAGACCAGATGTCCTGGCGTAGGATGGACTCTGAGATAAGACACTCAGTGGGGGACTGGGGCAGAGATGGGGACCCAACCTGGGTGAGAGGAGAAAGCAAGTGCACTGGAGACCGGGGAAGATCGGGCAGCAGGAGTCAGAGGTGGGCAAGGGCCAGAGAGGCAGTGGCCCTCCTCCCCTGGGTCGGGGTCCCCACTTACTGTGCAGCCTCCAGGGCGAGCATGGTGACACGGGACCAGGCTGGCCACGGGCTGCAGATACCACCCCTTTTATACTGAGGCCCAGCCCCGGGGGAGGGGGGGCTCGCAGCTCAGCCCTTCTCAGAAATCCCCTCAGGAAGGGGGTGGGGGGGACATGACTGGGTTGCACAACCCCTTGGTCACGTGGTGGGGAGAATGGGTCTGGATTTGGGGATCCCCTAGGACAGGGGTGGGGCAGGGATGGGGGCTTGGCCCTGAGATGAGGGTGGAGCTGGGTTTGGGATCCAGGAAGAGTTAGCGAAGGACTGAGGAAGAAGGGAATCTCTGGGGTGACTAAGAAATAAAGGTAGGGGTGCTGGACTCAGGAGCCAGACTTCAGGGCCTAGACAGCAGGACACAGGGGCGCCCGTGGCTGTGTCCTGCTTGATGGAGAAGCTGCCACTCCCGGGCTGTCACCAATGCCATCAAGTTAACTCAGCAGATCCAGCAGTGACCACTGGATTCTGAGGCTGCCTCTGGGCAAGTGGTGGATTCGAACCAGTGGCCTTTTGGTTAGCAAGCCAATACATTACACACTCTGCTGACAGGGCTCCTTGTTTCAGCTCCACAAACGCCCAAAACCCCCTCTCTGTCAACAGGTGCCCTGGGAGGAGGGGACCCCCATAGAGTTTCCGAGGTCTCCTCCCAGTCGGTGGGCTTTAAAGGTGGACTGCTATAGCCCAGTGCTTAAAGCATGGTGACACCAGCGCCAATCTGCCTGAGAGGAGGGGGCTTTGAGATGATACAAATGTGGGGACCACAAGGGATTCCTAGGAGGGGACAAAATGAGGACCCAGACCCCAGGTGGAAACATCCGTGGGTGTGTGATATGGGGGGGGGGTCCCCTTGGTCAGGTCAGAGCGGAAACCTGCCCTGCGGGGCTGCCCCAGGGCCATGGAAACAGGGCAGCAGCTGGTGGGCGGGGCAGCTGCCGGGCACCCTAGGGGCCACACGTGGGGAGGGGGTGCTGGCCCCCAAGGAGGGCAAGCGCTGGCCCCTGACACCTGGGTGCACTCAGCACATCAGAAGAGCTGGGTTAGATGTTCTCTAGGGGAATCGTCGGAGAGGGAAACTGAGGCGGAGGCTGGGAACCCGGGGTGGGCACTTCGTTTTTCAGAGGGTGGGGGTCGACACTGAGCGGATGGCTTGAACTGCCAACTGGGGAAGGGCCTGTCCCCAGGGACCACAGAGACCGAGTAACAAAAGATGAACTTTATTAATGTCAAGCTGCTGGGGAAGTGCGGGGTCACCAGGCCTCGGGGCCTGGGGGGCCGAAGCGCCGCAGCAGCTGCTCCTGGTCCTCCAGGTCCTTCCGCACCTTCTTGCGCATGTAGAAGATGGGGCAGTCGCGGCTGGGGGCGGGCGCGGGTCAGGGCCAGGGGCGCGGCCAGCACCAGGCCCGGGTGTGGGGGGCTGTTCCCAGGACTTTGGCCGGGTCTCCAGCCCCTTCCCCTGGCCCAACGCCTTGGCCCCCCTCCTCCTCCTGCGACCTGATGTTTGCCCGCCCCCACCCCCTGTTTGCTCAGCGGGCAGGGGAGTGATAACAGTGCGTGCCCGCTGCGGCACCGGCCACCAGCCGTATATCATCTGTCACCTGGCGTGGGAACCTGCCCCGCCCACCTGTTCCCTGGGGAAAGCGGCCTGCCCGGGGTGGGGGCATATCCAGTAGATCCTGGGGGCCCGTCCTGACTCCCTGGACACCCACACCCCCGGGAGGGCCAAGTGGGTCCACCCCAGGGGGACGCTAAAGGGGTCCAGGCTGCGGAGGGCTGCAGGGGCGGGTACCTGGTGCAGATGACGTCCTCGTGCAGGCTGCCTTGACAGCGCTGGCACTGTGTCCACAGGCGCGCGAAGCGCTCCTCCAGGGCGTTCAGGTGGGACACCTGGGTGCGCAGGTGGGGGTGCTGAGCAGGGCGGACCCCACCCTCGCCGCCTCCCCATCCCCACTGCTCCCCACGCTCACCTCCTTCTGATAGAGCTCGGACTCCCGCGGCCGGCAGAACTTGCACACAGCTCCTGGGGGCACACACGGGGGTCAGCCCTGGGTCAGGCCGCCACCCCTGCCCCTGCCCCTTCCCCACCCGCCGGATGGACGCCCATGTGGCTCTTGAAAGTCCCCGGAGGCTCAAGAACAAGGGAGCGAGTGTGTGTGTGGGGAAAACTCCCCTGGGGAAGTCCCGGGGTGGGGAGCGCGGACCCTCCCGGGAGTGGACATGCGGGTCCCTGGGCGTGTGGACCGGACGGGGCTCACCCTGGTGGCTGAGGGCCGTGCGGCAGCCAATGCAGCAGCTGCGGCGTTGTGCGAAGGCCAGCAGGCCGCCCACCTTGCCCGTCAGCACCGTCTTACAGCGGGTGTGATCTCCACCTGCAGGGCCAGGGGGTCGGTCTCCGCACCCCATGGCCAGTGCCCAGCAACGTCCCCCCTCATGCCCTCCAATCCTACCCCCCCACAAGCTGTTCTTCCTGCCTCCTGGTGGCTCCCGACACACCCTCCCCGTGACATCCCTCCTGTCTCCTGGTGCTGCCCCAGAGCCCACTCCTCATGCTGTTCCCGGTCTCCTGGGGTCCCCCTAACTGCCTCTCTCCGTGCTGTTCCTGTCTCCTGACACCCCTCCCTGTGACATACCTCCTGGTGACCCCCTACCACCCTCTTCATGCTGTTCCGTCTCCTGGTGTCCTCCTAGCCCCCCTCTCTCCGTGGTGTTCCACCTAACCCCTTCTGTCCATGCTCCCACAATCCCCAGCACCCCTCTTCTCCATGCTGTTCTCTGTCTCCTGGTGAGCCCCTAAAGCACTCTCTCCTGGTGTCCCCCTAACCTCCTCTCCATGCTGTGCCCTGTCTCCTGGTGTCCTCCTAACCCCCCTCTCACACTCCGCAGCGCCCCTTCTCTCCATGCTGTTCCCTGTCTCCTGGTGTCCCCATAACCCCCCCTCTCTCTCACACTCCGCAGCGCCCCTTCTCTCCATGCTGTCCCGTCTCCTGGTGTCCCCATAACCCCCCTCTCTCACACTCCGCAGCGCCCCTCCTCTCCATGCTGTCCCGTCTCCTGGTGCCCCCATAACCCCCTCTCTCTCTCACACTCCGCAGCGCCCCTTCTCTCCATGCTGCTCCCTGTCTCCTGGTGTCCCCGTAACCCCCTCTCTCTCACACTCCGCAGCGCCC